AATCTTCCCCTTGTGATGGTATTTATGATGACAAGATTTCACCTACTTTTGAAACTTTTCACAATTTATATTAGAAGTAAGAAAGTGTTTTGTATGGTTGGGTCCCCCTCCCCCCTTTAAAAAAATGATGAGACCTGCAAATAAATATACAATGTTCTCCTTGATCTTGTTCAGTTTTTATAAAGTGGATGTCATAGAGGCCTGCTTTTTTGGGTTTAATTCTCAAATTTGTTCTTTGGAAACAGTATCAAGAACTCCAGGGAGAAACAGACCACGTCAAGAGTAATTTTAGAGAGAATGCTCTGGGCAGTTGTAGCTTCTGTTGACGCCAACCAAGTGGTTTCAGAAAGCCGCTTCCCCTGCTCCGTGCAACAGGGTTGATTACATTTGCAGAGCTCACTGCAAGTGCCTGTTGAAGACGCGGGGTGAGCGCACACAGGCTCATCATTAACTCGGCCTTGCAGGTTCTTTCTTTCATGAGCGAACGGTGGAGTGGGTGTTTAGCAGCGCACCAGTCCGGCTCCTGCTAGGGGTCATGGCTTGATTTTCGTTTATTGTTCATGGCACTTCTTGAATTAGATTAATTTCTTTATATTTCTTCGCTGTCTATTCAGGACAGCAATTTCTCTGACTAAAAAAATATGACAAGACATGATACTCCTTCGCATATAAATAGTAGATCAAACCTCCTTTTATTTCCATACCTGTTATTTTGGAAAGTGTTCTTTCCAGTTTAGCACTTGCGATCCCACCCATTGCGTTGGCCACAGCACAGGGCACTTAGGATTCGCTGTGACCCCTGCGCAGCTGCATCCCTCGTGCGGGGACAGAGCCTCCTGTCAGCTCCGGTGGTGCCTGCGCAGATCTGAGACGTCCAGAGTCCGAACAAAGACCATGGCAGCATTTCCATTACTCTGAGGCTGAAGCACCTCTTAGGCAGAGAGTGCGGTGAACTCAGTAGGTGCACCAAACCATGCGAAACAGCGAGCACCCGAGCTACCGTGAGTGGCACTTGCTCTCAGGACAACAGTTCTGTCGGTCAGCCCGCGCTGAGGTCAGCGCTCAGTGCTGTTCCTCTGTGCTGCTTCCTTGTGGGACACCTAGCAGTGTGGACGGCGTGTGCTGGCGCGTTACTGTGTCCTCGTCTGAAGTGTAATCCCCTTTTGTCTAGAATAGACTTCACAGAAACGAACAAATTAAAAAACTCAGTATCTAGCAGGACCTCAACCACAACAAAGGAAAACAGGACAATGATTAGCGAAATGAGTAGGTGTATTTATCAACAGGCGCATGGAATGAGCACACATGCAGTTCTGAGTTTCCTGGCAGAAAAGCATGCGCGGGTTAGGTTATGTCGTCATTGTTACATGATAAAAGAAAGCAACAGAATTGATCTGGAAAGATTAACATTTTCCTGGCAGAAAACTCTACGATGAACTTAATTCACAGGATCTTCTATTAGACTTAATGAAGAGTGTCTTCAGCTGATACAGAAGTATTCAAACAGATGTTGTAAATAGCAGCCTCTATAAAAGATAAAGACGCAGTATGAAATAGTTCAGGAAGACTGTGCCAAAGGAGCCTGTGTGTCGGGTTTTCTGCCTTTACAACAGGACTGACCTGACGAGTCTCAGAGCAGTCCCCGAATGTGACCGCTGGGTTGGTACACACTCTGGACCTGCTGGCTTCTAGCCAGCTCACTGTTGCATTCTCTGATTGTCTGAAGTACCCCCTGGCTGCTGAGCACGGAGGGATGCTAATCTGAAGGAGGCAGGCTTAGCGTTCTGTTTTGAAATTTGGGGGCCCATCTCCAAAAGGAATATCAGTCCAACTCTTCTTAGAGGACCTTTCAGTCTGCTCACCTGTTAGATGCATACAGGCACCCCAGCGCCTGGAAGACTGTTTGAATTAAATGTTGTGAAAGGCACGGTTGCATTAAATGCCACAGGGACCGGCAGGAACTGAGGGAGCCAGGCAGCAGGTCAGCAGGTGTTCGGTACACAGGCCCTGTTTTGTGTCAGCCCTGGGACTGGTGAACTGGCTGAAGGGGTCACCTCCACTCAGCTCTGACTGATGTCACCAGGTGTGAACTGTAGCCCAGGATGGCCAGACCCTCCCGTTCCAGGAGAGGCTAGAAACCCTGATTGTACATGATATCTGATGGATTCGAACAAAGGCTCAGAAAACATTTTTAAAAACATTTTGCAGCCCTGGCTAGTTTGGCTCAGCAGTTAGAGCATTGGCCTGTGGCCCAGAGAGACCCAGGTTTGGTTCCCGCTAAGGGCACGTACCTCGGTTGCAGTTTGTTCCCGGCCCTGGTTGGGTCATGCGGGTGGCGGCCACTCCATGTGTCCTTTTTACAGTGATGTTTCTCTCTCTCTCTCTCTCTCTCTCTCTCTCTCTCTCTGTCTCTCTCTCTCTCTCTCTCCCCCTCCCTCCTTCTCCCTCCTCTATCTGAACAAAAAATGGAAAAATGTCCTTGGATGAGGATAAAAATAATAAACAAACAAACAAATAAACATTTTGCAGACTGAAACAAATCCATCTCTTATAGAGAAAGGCCTTACTAATCAACTGTCTTAACCACAAAATAACCTCATATTGGCCCAATAGAATTCCAGATGTTTAGCATAACTGAATCTCAATTAAAAAACAAAAACAAATAAACAAACAAACAAAAAAACTGCTTTACTGGTGAGCTCATTAAACTGACCTAGTAAGTGGACCTAGTAAGTGGTCATTTTTTCCCTTTTAATTGATTACATTTTCCTCATACCTACAATAATTTTCAATCTGAAAAATTATTGAACTGGTCCAACTGGGTTCTTGCAATAATTATTCAGCATGCTCACTCTTTTGCTTAATTTATCACATTTGTGGGTTAGTACCATGGACAGTTACCACAGCTGTTTAACCAAATTCCCCAATCTGAAATCTGTTTCTGGACCACCTATGTTAGCAGATGCTGATTCTGGGAGTTACACTTAGGAATCTTTTTGGTGTGTGTTTTGGAGATGTGATTAGGATCTTTTTGGTGTACTCAAGTAATTGAGTTATGTGATTGTTTGCATTAGTCTGGTCCTTGCTTCCAGTTTTATTGAGATATAGTTGACATATAACATTGTGTAGTTTTAAGGTGATGATTTGATACACTTACACGTTGCAGAGCAGTTGCAAAGCGATTACCACCATAGCATTCCGCAACACCTGCGTCCCCTTGCATAATCACGGTTTCGTTTTTGCATTGAGAACAGTTTCAGATCCACTTTCTCAGTACCTTTCAACTATGTGTCTGGTCACCTTTCAGTAAGGGGAGGGGTAACACAAAAGTTACTAGTATTTATTGAAGCCTTACCCTGTGCCGTGCATTGTGCAGAGTGCGGTAGCTGTATAACTCAGGTCATTTTCACCAAGCTCTTGGAAGCAGGCATTATCAGTGTCGTCGTCATCATCATTCCTCCCTTATACACTTGGGTACTATGAGGTTACGTAACTTAAATAACTTGTCCGAGGTCCCACAGTCAGTCGGTAAGTCGCGGAGCCCAAATGCAGCCAGGCAGCCGGACCAGAGCAGTGTTCTCTGTTGGCCCCGAAGCCCAGCTAGACCGGTATGTTAGATTTCTCCATGGGAAAACGGGCATTGTTCTGGATCTCACCTTGAATGTTTAATGACAGTAAAGAACAGAATCCAAAGAGCATCGAGGAACGTCCTTGTAATCATGTAGATGTGAGTAATGACGCGAAGAGTCTCACAGAAATAGACAGTGTGTCGGCGGCATCACATGGTGAGCCTGATGTGTCCAGATGTGAATAATTACGCGAAGAGTCTTACAGAAATATCCAGTGTGTCGGCGGAATCACACGGGGAGCCTGATGTGTCCACCAAGACCCGAGGTTCACAATTCTTCAGCAAAAAATAGCCGATGGCCACAAACCTTCCTGCTATGGTCTTGGCGGTTCTCAACCTTCCTGATGCCGCGACCCTTTAATACAGTTCATGTTGTGGTGACCCCCAAACATAAAATTATTTTTTAAAGATTTTTTTTTATTTTTATTTTATTTATTTGTACAGATAGAGCGGGAGGGAGAGAGAGAGAGAAACATCGACGTGAAAGGGACACATCAAGTGGTTGCCACCCACACAACTCAACCAGGGCTGGGGACAAACTGCAACCGAGGTACGTGCCCTTAGCGGGAACTGAACCCGGGTCTCTCCAGACCGCAGGCCGACGCTCTTACCACTGAGCCAAACCGGCCAGGGCTTGATAACTATTAATATTATTAAATTTTAGTGTATTTTTTTTTATTAGTAAATACCTTTTATGAAACACCTAGTCTAAAATACAACTTCCTTTTTTAAATTCATGGTTTAATGTAATGAGAAATATTTGACAAAGGCTCAGAATTATCCGTTAACTTGTCTTTTATAGTATTTGATGTATGTGTGGTCACACGTGCCCATATGTGTGTTTACTAATTGCAGCCATATGCATCTGAACACAGTGTTATTTGTGGGAAATGGAGCATAAAACATGAAAATATGTAATTAGTAAGGAGATGAAATCATAGTGTTTAGCTCCTTCCAGAACAGGGATGCTGTGATACAGCCTCGGTTGTTTTTCATTACAGATGAGGGAGATTCCTGGATAGATTTCGTGATTGGTTTCTTACCTTCCTAGTTAATTGTAACATTCCTCCCTCTAATGGACAGAAATGAATTCCCGTACCGGTTTCCCGTCCGTGTTTGCTTTGCCACGGCTCACGCTGTCCTCCCAGGGCAGACGGCAGACTCCTCAGAACAAGGCTGAAACCCTCGCGGGGACCAGTGAGAGGACTTTGGCTGCTCTAAGCTGGTTGCTCTAAGCTGATTTTATGAATGAAATAAAGCATGGAGCAGCATCTACTATCCATGACACAGCTTGTCCGAAATCGAACACATTTGCGTGTGTGTCACGGTCCTGTGGCGTGCGTACAGCTAACGGCTCTGAATTGTATTCTAGACAATCCACGGACACAAGGGGCCGATCACGGCCGTGGCCTTTGCCCCTGATGGACGCTATCTGGCCACCTACTCGAACACCGACAGCCACATCTCCTTCTGGCAGGTGAGCCGAGGGGCTGGGTCTTGAGGTTTACGGCATGACCTGCCGGGCAGGCTTCCTGCCGCGGCTGCCGCCTGTCCCTTCTTCAGCAGATGTTAGTGCTCACGGCTTCCTGATTGGGCCCGACGCCGGCATGCGGGGCACACGCAGGGAGGGTGCCAGACGCCGGCATGCAGGGCACACGCAGGGAGGGAGGGGGTCTGCTCTCAGAGCTGAGTCTCGGGGAGACAGGTGGATAAGCAGGCAGTGACAGTCCAGAGGGGAAGCTGAGACCGGGCTATGACATGGCTTCCTGGGGAAGTGTCATCTGAGCTGAGACATGCTGATGCAGAGGGAGGGCAGGGAGGGCAGGGAGGGCTGGGTGCCGAGGGAGAGGGGCAGCGGGCAGAGGGGCACAGGGCGTGGTGGGGGGGGCCTGGCCCCGGAGACTGGGCGCGGAGGCCGCACGTGGGCTGCTGGCGGATCCGAGGCACCCAGACGATGCTGACGGGGCACATGACGTGGCAGGAAGGGCAGCCTCCTGTTCACGCCGTGCCGTTCATATTCTATTCTGTGAGCAGCGTGCTCTTCACCCCCAGACTGTCAAGCGTCTTCAGATCCGCGTAGCGTGGACTGGCACGAGAATGCCTGTGTTTGATTCTGATTAAAGTGAACGTTAACTTTAAACAACTAATTTTTACAATAGAACTTGTTTCACCATCAGTGATTAATCTCTAATCTTTTTAATTACATTACTCCTGGTAATTACCAAAAAAATCAAACATTACCAACCCCCCCAAAAAGGTTAATTTAAAATTTTATTGTCACCCTTACACTCCTAAGCTGCAGGTGTGTTTTATGAGATTCAGTTTAATGCGTTGAAAGCTTAAAAAAAAAACAAAAAATAAATAACAAAGTTTAAACAAGACTCTAACACATCTTGATAATGGTTTTTAAAAAATCAGTAGCAATAAGATGTAAAACAGGTACAATAAATGGCTTAATTAACAACATGCCACTGAAGCGTGACACCTTCCAAATGTCACAGGCTTTTTCTAAGTCTCCTCTTACTTAGTTTCCCAGTTTATTATCTCATTATCGTTTCTCCCAGAATAGGTCCAGCGTCTTGATCGGCTCAGATCACGCTCTTGTCCTTAGAGCCCTCGCCCACTCTTTGTGCTGGTGGGAGGGCAGAGGTCGGGTCTGCGGGCGCCCACCCCGAGCCCGAGCCGTGTCCGGAAGCGGCCTCTGCGCCGGGGTCCTCAGGGCGTTTGCCTGCCTGTTGCTTCTGTCCACTCGCGCCCAGCACTGAGGTCTCTTCTCCACCAACTGTACTTGATACAGATTTTTTCTTATTTCTTGAAATGCTGGAGAAGTATTTACGTAAAACCCCGTTCATTCAACAGGTACTGGCGTTGAAATGCCAGCACCAGCCTGTGCTTCAGGGGTACCGAGTCAGCAAGTCCCAGGACCCCGTTTTCAAGGAGCTAGTGGGGTGTCCACGCTTGCTTCTTTGGAAAAAACAAAAACAAAATTCTTTTTGTCCAACTTGACTTCCCCCCAAAGTATGATTCCTCATAGAGGAATGTGAAAGTTTTTCCAGTAGGTTCCTGAATTTCTATGTAGTAAACCTTTTTGCCCTTGTCTAGATGTCAAGGTTCTATCTGGATATGTCCATTCCTTCCTTGACTGTTTTTCTCTTTGTATCAGTCTCTGCCCAGCTCACTGATGGAGTTACGGTTGGCTTCCTTTCTTTCTTCGAGAGCGAGCCCGCTCCACAGATGGTATCCGTGTGAGCTATCCCTCCGTCCCCAGTTCTCTGGGCTCTGTCTGCTGTCCCCTAGGCCTTGTGCACTGTGTTTTTCAGGCCACACGCTCATCCACGGCAGGGGCCACCTCGTGTTACCTGCACACGTGGGCGTTCCGTGGACAGGCAACACCCAGTCCTCTTACCACTAAACCCAGCACTAGAATTTAAAATGCAGCCCGTTTCTCACATGCTTAAAGCATTCCCAACGGGCTTGGAGTTTAAGTGGAAGGCACGGAAACATCATTTCAGCCTTATCAAGGAGAGACCACAATTCAACCTCTTCCAGAAGTATAGTGAGTTTCTATTTTAATTACAGAAAGTCCAGACAGCAGTCGGGTCTACCACTGTGCTCCCCAAATGGACTGCTGAGAGATGGGGAACCCTTTTCTGTCACGGACCATTTGGATAATCAGAATATCATTCGAGGGCCATACAGAGTTATCAATTTAAAGATTAGCCTGCTGTCTGTGGTCAGGCTAGTTTGGAGAGTTGTGTGATGTCAGCTGGCATCAATGTTCAGGCCTGAAGTGGCCCGCGGGCCGGACGTTTCCCGCCCTGATACTGTTTAGTTCTAATGATGTGTGATAACACTTTTATATTATTCCAGTAAATATACTGTAATATATTTTGCAAACTTAACGAAATCTTATTAATAGAGAACTTTACAATAGCCATCAGCTATTAAAACCTTTGCTGAGAAATGAGTGTTAATGAGAAATATTGGTTGGATAATTACTCAAGTGCGACTTAGTGAAAGGTTGTGTGCAGCATTACTTACGCTGAGAATAGCATTAAAGCACTTCCTGTTTTGATGAATTACATCTGCGTGTGTTTCTATGTTTTCAGAAAATAAGCTTCACAGAACTGGTTTTGTGAAGCATTATTTTTAAAGGGAAGGGAAAAGCCAATGTTAGATTTTAGTTAGTTTACATACCCAATCATTGAACGATGTAATTTGGTAATCTTTCAATTTCTTTGACTCTCCAACAACGTATTTCTATAATTTGAATATTTCACTTCAGTGTATCCATTGATATTTGATCAAGGGGAGTTTAGTAATAAAATACAACCATAATTCTCTCTGCTAAAGTTTTTCCACGACCCTCTAACAAATAAGTATCCTTTTTCATAAATGCTAATAACAAATTAGATGGATATTGGTTTCATTTGTTTTTATTTATTCCATTATACAATAGAATACTATTCAGCCATTTTAAAAGGATGATATAATCTATAGTAATTAACATGAAAAGATTGCCCTCAACATTCTGGTAAACAAAAAAAAAAAAAAAGCAGATTGTGAAGCTGCCCTTTAATATGAGCCTGTTTATGTAAAATTATTTAAACTGGCTTCCCTTATGTGTGTGCTAAGGTCTGAAAGGTGTGTGTCAAATTATTAGTGGTTATCTCTGGGAAGGGAGATCTCAGGGGATTTTTACTTTCTCATTTGAATTTTCCACAATAAGTCTTTATCTTTGTAATCAAGAAAAAAACAATGTTACCAAATATCACAACTCCAGGTTGTTTTCATTCATTCAAGGCTCAAATTGCCCTCAGTTTAGCATAGTCTATAGACAGCCAATAGTCCAAAAAACATTAATAATGAATAACAAAATGGGTCGCCGTTTTGGTGAGAATTCTTTGACTGAGTTTATTGGAAATTAATAAACTCAGTCAAATTAATATTCACCCTCCCAGTGTCAGAGTCACGTCTGATTTGAAGAGGTCGTAGGGGAAGAATGGTCTGAAGAGCAAGAAGTTATGGGTAACACGAGAGTCCCCGTCACCCCCGCTGTGTGCAGCTGTCATCGCACACCCCTTGCAGGACGGGGCGCAGTCCTGTTTGGAGGCAGGAAGGCTGTGTGAGCCCCCGAAGGCATTCGTCAATCAATTTATCAGTCGTTTGGGGCAGGGCTCAGCCTGTAAGGGGAACCCAGTTATAGTAATGGGCTTTAAAAAAATCTTTCCATCCTAAAATTCAAATAAGATATTCTCTCCCTATCCCCCTGTGGCCCTCAGCCCATTTCTTGTACTTGGCTAAACTTGAAGAGAAGAGTTTAATACCCTGAGCATTCTGAGCCACCAGCAGAAATCGAGCTTCATACATATTTTCATGGAAAATCCATAAGGAATGAAAAATACTCTGTGGTCATTCATCAACTGAGCAACTAGATTTTTCTAAAAGCACAGTATGCCTGTGGACGCCAGTTCATTTTAACCAGCAGCTTTTGGGGTCAGTTGGCTACATTCTGTAAGAGGACGAAATTACTGTGTCCTGTTAATTTTGGTGCGAGAACTATAAAATCAAGCTCATATTGAAATTCTTTGGGAAGCCCCAGAAAGCAATGAGGCATTCACTTTTGTCCTCCGTGGAGTTTCGGGGAGGAGGCCAGTGAGGTGTTGCTCAGCTCTGTGTGGTCACAACTTCAACAGAAATAGTTAACGATAACCACACATTTGGTTTTAAAATGTGACCTCGTACACTAGTGATTTTTCTCACCTCTGTGTTGTGTTCGGCACTATTATTAATGCAGTAAAATCAGTAACATTAGTCATCTTAAAAGGGTTATTACTCAAGATGATTTAAATTGTGAAAATGTCAGCGGAGCCTGCACGCATCCTGCTAGAGACACCGTGATTTACGCCCTCTGACACCGTCCTGCTGCCGAGGGGCCGGGAAGGGATGGCGCGGCTTCCGCTCATCCACATGCAGAGTGCGGCCCAGCAGCACGCGTCCTTGGCGTCCAAGCATTTGCTGGGGTTCGTGTGTCAGCCCTCTGGGTGCACTGGGTCATAATCTGCATGCTTCACGCAGCTCCCCAGAATCTCACATGTCTAGATAGAGGCTTGACTGCAGAGAATTGGGAAATAAAATTAGTGCAAAGAAAAATGTTATTTCCGAGACCCCCTTCCTGCTTTTCGGTATGGTTTCCATGTGGTCTGTAAAACCACAAAGGACGTGTATTGGGACGATGTGAAGTAATATGTGGAATCTAAAGGGCTCCTCAGACTCGGTCACTCGGACAGCAGTTTACTAAGATAACTGCCGATGGATGTTTAGCACTTTGACCTGAACGCATGGTTGTTCAGGATCCATAATGCCCACATTATTCGTCACTTGTGTGAATGGATTAAAAGAACTCACAATTCAAATCAACTCCAGAAAAGCTGCCACAAAGCAGAAGTCACCAGCTAATCAGGTGTTGCCGACGAGGCATCGCAGCGCGTCCCCAGCGCGCAGGAGCAGGGAGCACAGGTCGTGCTGAGACGTAGCTGATTCTTGTTTCCCCTTCAAACAGACCAGAGCCCTTCAGAGGCTGAAGTTTTTAAACAGCAGGTGAGGAGGGCAGGTGTTGGTAGGTGGCGATGGGGGAGGAGGTTACATTTTGAGCTCTGACCCAGGAACTTCTCACTCTGTCTACTGCTTAACTTTGCTTCCTTTCCTTAAACGGATTGTAAGTCCCCAGACTTGCCTTCATGGACCCATCCCTCAGCGTGTTAGGAACAAGGACTGCGGTTGAAAATACCCGTCGTTTCCAAGCACTGTCCGGTTAAACTGTTTTATTAACATGTACAGTGTAGCTTCCTTCTTAAAGATTAGACTAGCTGTCAGGTTCTCCCCACAAAGTGAAATTTCTCTGGATTTATGCTTTTCCCGGAACAGCATCAGAGTAGTTTCAGATACACTGAGGGACCCTTCCGGGGTTGAGACTGACTCTAGAGAACGTGAGCAAGCCGGCTGGAGGGAGTGTGAGTCGCTGGAACCACTGTCTGTAACGACACCTGTGCTCTCGTGCCCCTGTGTCCCCAGATGAACACCTCCCTGCTGGGAAGCATCGGCATGCTGAACTCGGCCCCTCAGCTGCGCTGCATCAAAACCTACCAGGTGCCCCCGGTGCAGCCGGCCTCCCCCGGCCCCCACAACGCCCTGCGACTGGCCCGGCTCATCTGGACTTCCAACCGCAACATCATCCTGATGGCCCACGACGGGAAGGAGCACCGCTTCATGGTCTGAGGCTGGCGCCGCCCTGGCTGCGGCTCGCTAAGCCCAGCTTCCTCGTCCTCGCCGGTCCCTCCTCGGTGCTGCCCACCCAGGGGCATCGGGGGCGCGGCCAGGGCTGTGTCACTTCTGCATGGTCTGGGACAGTCCCCTGCTCATGCCACCTACTGACTCAGAGGCATGCACACACCCTCTGCAGGGCATGCCCTTCTGTCCTAGGTCCCGTTTCCCTGCGGGGGAGGGGAGGCCAGTCCCTGGGAGCCCTCCTGCAGCTGGGCGCACCCGAAAATCAATGAGCACTGTGACCGCAGCCCAGCCCTGATCAGCATTCCCGCGAGCCCCCCGTGAAGAGCTGCTGGGGCCCTCGTTCTGACTTGGGGTTTCGAGCTAACCTGCAGTCCTGATTGTCAGATTATTTTCCTTTGGAGTTCCTGAAACATACTATTGTTTACCAAAAAGATTCTCTGTTTACATGGGTTTTTTCCTTCAGCTGGTTGTTAGGAAATTGCTCAATTCGATTTCCTAGGGTTTAGCCACTACTTTCTTTATTAATACCTAACTGATTTGAGGTTAATGAGAAAATATTTTTAAAAATTGTTTTTTTCTTGTAGAGAATACAGTTTCCCAGACACCTGTCCTTCTACAATGCTCACATCCTGCTTAAGTGATGGTGTATTTAGTAGTTGAAAATAAAATCATCTCTACTGATGATCTAGTTAATATAATCATCCAGTCGCTATAGCTAATCTCTTAAAATGGACTTTTATAATAAAGAACCGAGTGTGGAAGCATAGCATATACCTACAGAGAAGACACCTGTGTCCCCTGCTGCAGCTCTGTCAGAGCCGGAGCTCACCCCTTGCGTCCAGACTGCACAGGCCTGCAGCTCCCCCGGGCTTGGCTTCGGTCGGTTGTGATCACAGTCCCAGCTGCCTTCAAACTGCTGCTGCTCAGCTACAGGGAGACCAAGGCAGCACTGCTTTCAACCAGCGCCCTAGAGCTTTGGCAGCGGCGCACGAGCACCCCGGAGTGTGTGAGACGGGGGCTCGGCCGTTGGGGCCAGCCTGGCCGCCAGAGCTGCTCCCACTTTGGAGTCAGCTTTAACGGGGCCACTTTCTTCTTCTGTCAGGCTCTGCTGGTCCCTGCTCACAGTAATGGGGGACCCATAAAATAACACTTGGTATGAATTGCTCCTGACAAACTTTGATCTGTACATAGTTGGGGATTTGGTTGGTTGATGGGTTGCTTGGTTAGTTAGGTAAAATGGTTTATTAATGCAAAAATAGAAAATGATTTATGAAATTGAGAGAAAATATCTGAAGTTTACAGAGGAACCAAAATAATAATGGGAGCATTTAACTTAAAAGGCATAGGTGTCAGAGTTTATGTAACATACAAAAGCGTAAGATCACAGTCCAAGAACAAATACATCTGTAATTTTATTGAAACGGATTTTTAAAGACCATGTTAAGAAGCTGAGACCACTAGTACATCTCTTTCATATTGATATGAAGTATGTTATTCCCACTGATGGCAAACCTGTACTATTCCTTGGTTGTAGACTTTGGGTGTTCTTTTAAAAGTGAATTTATGAAACATGCATGTATATTGTATTTATAAAGATTATATATGTAGTTTCCAGGAAGAGACAAAGAACTATATAGTGTGGACCTTGTTTGCTGAAGCCACTGTGTCGGTGGAGATGTAAACAGGAGGTGCATTGGTTTTCCCAGGGGCCCCCAGGCTTCTTGAGACCCAGCACATCTTTATGAACGTCAGTGGGTATTACGTCATTCTGGGTGCGCAGCTGTTTGGGGATGATGAAGTGGAGGTACAACTTAGAGATTTTTTAAAACAACATGTTCATTGCATCCGGAGAAAGGTGTGAGCCTGCTAGGCAGACCCGCACGTGCACGGTGGCTGGCAGGTGCCATGCAGATTCAGAACAACGCCCAGCGGCCCCCAGGAGCGGAACGCCGGCGCAGGGCTGGCCAGCCTGCCACGCACGGTCTGCACAGGCAGCCGAAGTTCTTGGCCAGTGGAATATTCCAGTCATGAAACTTTAGGGTGGGTGATGTTAGACAGTATCTCTAGCTGCTAAACTATTATTTGCATTCTTGTTAAGACAAATCTTTCCTTAACTTTTTCTGGCAAGTCCAAGCTTCATCCCAGCTCAGCTTTCTCGGCACCGAGGTAAACTGTACTGTCATCCCAGTGTATGCTTTTCGTGTTCTGTTAATTTCACTGACACTGTATTTGGATCTGTCCTTGTAAATATAGAGGCATATGTGGCTTCATTGGTAATTTACGAGCAAACGATGACATGACGCGACGCCGTATGAAAAGCGATGGTTGGGCTCACTGTGAACAGCAGGTGGATTCGAACGTCTGCCTCATGGGACGTTTCTTCATGACTCCACTGAACAGATTCTGTATGTGCTGAATTTCCTCTGTACATACGTGTGTTAAATAAAACGGAATTGTACCGAAGATTGTTTTTCCCATTAAAACCATTACTCATTCACTCTTAAACATTCTCAGTTGAAATCCATATGCTTTCTCCCTGCCCACACTCCCTTTGGTACCAAATTAAGCTTTATATTTCCATCTAATTATTCATTTCCCTGGAGAGCTAGCTTCAGGAAAGGCAAACTTGTACACAAAGGACAGAATAGCAGCAAAGGAAGTGTCTCCCCTGCACTGCCCACGTGTGGGAACCAAACACCCCTACCAGAAACTCAACAGCACCCTCTGTGGTTTGGGCAAGGGAATTGCATGCATACTTCTGTTCCTAAGTGGACTGCCAATTAATTGTACCAAGGCACATCTTGTCAGATGGCATGAGGGGTTGGCAACCCCCAGGGTGGGGGGCTGGGCTGACATCATGAAATTCATTTTATTTATTTAATACTCATTTGGAGTTGAATTTGACTCCCTGAAGTAAAGGGTGGAATTTGTTTTCAAAAAAGCAAGAGTAACAAGAGTCATTATGGCTCACAGAGGGTTGCGTGGACTTGTTTAGTTTTCAGAGAGGAGTATAGAACGTCTTGAAATGAGTCTGTCATCACGTAGCTGTGTAATTTCCTTTAAGAAGTAAACACTAAGCGGGTGCAGCAGCGTCTTTGGCCCTATTCAAACGCCAGCGTCCGTCCCGAAATTGTGTTAGCATCTCCTGATGACTTCAGTGTGTCCTAGGGAAATGGGGACAGCACCGGTTCTATATGATTGGTGATCACATAAACCGATCAAATGTGGAAAGGGCATGACATTAATAGGGAGGTAAAGCCAAGCCGTGCTGGGTGAACTTTCACCTTTCACCCCTCGGCTGACTGACAGAGCTGAGTGTTGAAGAAAATCAATACTTTGGAGCCAGGAGGGAGATATTTCCAACCTCTAAGTAGAGAATGTATTTTGACAAGGCCGAGATAAACCAAGCTGCACAGGAGAAAGAGAAAAGAAGACTCATTTTTAAAGCTTGACACTTCAAGGTGTTTTTGTCCAGTGGTTTAGAGATCGTCAATACATACAAATACCAAAGGTCAAAAAGAAAAGCCAGAAGAATGTCAAAAATTAGATGTTCAGTTCTTTCTGCTGTTTACAAAGTAAAAAAGGCCACAGGGAAGCGTGTGCCTGTAATGGTCGTTTAAAGGGGTTCAGCTCACAACGGCGTTCAGGTTCTCCCCCTCTTTAATCAGCCCTGGAATTTCAGAGGCAGCATTATGAATCACGGGTGCTAAAAAGGCAGTGAGACTTCTTTTTTCTGTGCGTTTTCTTCTTGGTTACATCATTTTGTGCGAACATCTCAGAATCTTGCTTTCGGATTCGCAAATCCTTGACCCTCCTTCACGGTCGATTCGGTCATTTGCATGAGAAAGGGGTTCCTGTCCCTTTGGGATTTGAATTGTTTCTAGTTTCCCATGTCCCTTTAAGCACATTACTTATGCAAGTATCCTCATTAGTGCTTTTCTAAGTGAGAGGCTGATGGGTCTCTAGGAAGCAGGTGAGCCACTCACTGCATTCTTCCCAGCAAGATGAGACCCATTCATTCTGTGGACAGTCACCTCCATCAAAGGGACACAGATTTGCCTTTTCTACAGATAAGGAAACAGTCTCGTGGTGCCCACACCATCCAGCCACAGGACAGGGGTCCTGAGTAGGCCAAGTGTCAAAGTCGCCTCTGTTGTTTCATTGACCTGCACGGTCAGGCTTGCTGTGGATATATGCTAATCATATGATGATTAAAATAACTGCAAAAATAGAGTCTTCGTTTATAGACCCTCTTTCTCCTTAAAAAATTCTCCTCTACTGTATTCCGAAGATACATCTGACTGGAGGGTTTTAGTTGTAGTTTCTGCAAATGGAGAACACAGCCAGCCAAGACTCCTTGGTGTTCTGTGACTTCGCAGGGAAGGCCAGGAACGTCGCACATCCGTGAGGTCAGGCCTGGAGGAGGCTGGCAACAGCGGTACCCAGGGAGCAATGAGTGTGAGCTGATACTTTGAGTAGACATTTAAACGTCCTCATTGAGCACGGGTAAACAAGACTAAGTCGCCTGTGTTCTTCAGAAAACATTGCTGGATGTTTGCATCATTGTGCTCTTCTGTGGACCCCAGTAATGGGTCTGGACGCTTCCCATGGGAAGTCTCTGGTTCCACCCGAATTCACCAGGCTATGTTGTTACGTGTTGCTGTCTTCACCCCAAAATGTGCAGACACTGAGGAGATCCCTAAAGCTGTGCCGGTGCCCGGGACTGGCTGACTGCGGCCCCCAAATGGCTTAAAAAGAAAGTAATTCACCACGTGTGACATTCATGAACCTCTTGTTCTGACTGCTGTCAAAATGACTCAGTCCTTTGGTTTACCCCAACGTGAAATGTCTTTTCTGAAACTTGCCCCACCCAATGGCACTTCAAGTTTTAGTTAAAATGTATGAATAATTTAGAGGCGCCACAATGAAACATTATTTTTATTCGGCCTGCAAGCATGTACTGCATCTCAGCCTTGCCAAACGCGTGTTCTGTATTCTGCTTT